AGTGAATCATTCGAGCCGATGATTTGGATCCGAAGCTGAGCTGATAAGCTGGAGAGAATTATGGGAGGAGAGATAAGAGCACATATACTGGAGGAATAACAGCAGCAATAAGAGCCGTGTACGTTAATGCATTGGATAATACCAGTAGAAATTTAAGATCGTCTAATCGTAGGTACATGTTGAATTACGAGCGCATCTTGGTTTAGGTGGGGGCTATTCAATGCGCAAAGGAGCAATGCGTGCTTTTTTGAAAAATTCCGCAATAAGTGACGAATTGAATGGTTTAGATTTGTGATGACAGTGTGCTGATGAGCTGCGGTTCCTAAAAAAAATGAACCGTGGGTCACCAGCTCACTTTAGTGAATCGGGTCCTTAGAACAGCTCGGGAGCGGATCGCCCATCTCCAGTTCCAATACCATCACAACGTTTAGTAGATGGATCAAAATCTGTTATCCGCAGCGTTGATCATCATTTTCCATCATTTTACGATAGTGAATAGAAATTAGAACATGTTTGCCTTTTTCGTGTACCGAAAAACATAATATCACATGGAAAATACTTTATCGAGTCAAGTGACATATGCCAATCGACTCTGTTTCCAGCTCAATTTAAAGGGCAACCGAATCCATTTTGTTTGTATTTATTTATTTATTTATTTCGTCAACCAACGTAGACTAGTACATATTAGAATACAGTTTTGTTTTCTTAAATTTATTTATTTATTTCGTCAACTTTGGACAAAAGGTTAAAAGTATAATTTTTTCTTTAATAAAAATTAAGCAGTGTCAGCTTTCCTATTTTTTTATGAGTTATAATGCCTTATGGAGTAAAAATATTGTTTTAGATATAGCTCTCATAGAACTCCATTGAGTTTTCTCCAGTTTGGACTTATGATGGACAATGATTCACATGTTTGCTAAAATCGGACCCTTTTGGATCTTGTAAAATCCTCAAGATGGAACCTTCTGAACGAAATGATGTCTGAGACAAAGTTTTAGAGATAAGATAACAAATGTTTCTCTAGGAAAATTATACAAAAAAGTATGTTTAGTTATATCACGTAAAAATTAAAAAAAAAAACAATTAATAAACCTAAATATATCCAAATGTCATTGCTAAACATTTTATTTCTTTTTTCAAAACGTTCATGAAAAATGCAAACTTTTGGAATGTGATTCTGATGCAATTTCATTCGTTTCTACCACTGACCACAGACACTTAATAACTGTTCATTCCATATGACGATTTTTCGATACAACGCCTTTTTGGATAATATGTATCTACAAAGTTTTACTGGATTTTTGAATTGCTGTACTGCTCGGTAAAATTTGTCAATTTAATTGATTCCTTACGGATAACATGAATTTTTATCGACGTTTTCACCAATTTAAAAACTCAGTAAAAAGTACTAACTCCTGCAAAATAATCTAAGTGTGTAAAACATATGTCTATTACTACATAGTTTTAGAACACATTTAATACACCCAGACATGTGCTGGGGCCCCTGTGATACTGACCAAAATCTGCCTTAAATAAAATTTTATAATTTAATACGAGTATGGCACTTGCCACCGGTAGGTGGATTAATCAGTGTATGTATGGTAAGTTTAATGATTATTTCTGGCTTTGCAAGTGATTTGTGCATTTGTAAGGCTATATTTATGATTCAGGTCACTAAGAGCTTTGAAGGCTTTATAGCGTTTTAAAGGCATTCAAATATTGTTAGGTCATTTAAATGATTCAAGAACATTTTGACCTTTAAATATCTGAGTACAAAAAAAGAAAGATGCTGCTCTGAGGTTCAAAAATAAATGAAACAAAGTACTTCATGCAATCATCTTCTTTGTCAGTAACGTGGTTCTGCATCGAACTTTTTTTTCCTCTGTTCAGGACCTAACACCACTGCGACCAGTAATTTGATCAATTATAGTATATCCCGTGTCCTTAGTTTAGTGCATGTCGTATAACTCCATCACTATTGAGAAATGATGAAGTATTCGATTTTTTTACAGTGGCCACTTTTGCATTTATCGCAAGGATCCGACTCTAATTGAAAGGTCCCGCTATTTATACCCTTTTTTTTTTTTTTTTTTTTCTTCGCATTTCAAGCTTATTGCTTATGGCATATTAGCTTATTGCGTGCTCTCAACTTAGTGTTCTAGATGCACTTCCACAGTTATTAATTGAGAGCTTTCGATGCCTGCTACCATTTTTGCATTAGTATAATTGTATGGCAAGTACAATTATACTCTATGCCCAGGGAGTCGAGAAATTTTCCAACCCGAAAAATGCCTAGACCGAACCGGGAATCGAACCCAGTCACCTCCAGCATGGTCTTGCTTAGTAGCTGCGTTTTTACCGACTTAGCTAAGGGAGGCCCCTAATTTATACCCTTCGGAGTGTTGAAAACACCCTCCAAAGGCGCACCCCTTTGTCAGTCAAAATTGGATTCCTTAGCAACAAAATTAAGGAATAACACCATGCATCAGAACACTAGTCTTAATCACTTCAAACTAGGGAACAACGAATAGAAGATTAGGAATGACATAGATGAAGACAAACTAACTCATTTCTTCCTTGTTTCAAGATCATCCTCGGTGAACAAAGCCGAGTCTTGTCAATATCACTATAAAATCCTGTTCCCCTAGTTTGAAGTAGTCAGGACTAGGAATCAGTGGAAGATCTTACCACGAAAAGGTGATCTACCCACGTTACGGGGCTGTATCGAACATAATACAATATATATATTTTAAATAAATAGTGGCCACTTATACATTTTGAAATTTGAATGCATAAGTGCGGATGCAATTGAATAGAAAACTCCATATAGTCTATGATGTCATACTGCTGATGAACTTGAACCGGTAGTACCTTATCCGAATGGGCCATAAACGAAATTTTTATAGTTGTTCACTGTTCGTCATACGACATCTGCGTTGTGCCAATTTGAGTTCAAACATTATTATTATTATTTAACTTTATTAAAGAGGCTTTCAGCCTTGGGCTGGTTCGCCTCCAAAGTTCAAACATCTCGTAAGACGTTGTACCCCCAAAGTAACAAATTCAAGAGAAATCAATTTCATCAATTTGTCACCTGTCTAAGTCACTGCATCTTCGAGACAGATGCATTCATATGATGACGATAGAAAGTAAAATTCCATTAAAATTAACATAAAATATTCCACTTCCATCAAATATCCAGAACCCCCTCACCTGTTTGCTCAGTAATCCGAAAACACCGAGGTGTTGTTCGGAAAATTCTCACATATGAAACGCATCCATATCATTTATCTCCAGCATTTGGCCTTAATCCATCGCTGATGCTGCTAAGCTTACTTCCACCCCAATGCACACTCATTGGATTGATTTATTTCCCGAAAGAAAGAGAAAATGCTTATGCTCCACGAAAAAGAAATGAGCTCGCGCGCAGGAGCACACTAACAGCCATCCATTCGCCGACTACCTTCTTCCATCTCACACATGCATGCTCCGGAAATGTTATTCATGCCCATTCAGGCGTTTAATTTGTGATGTATATGAAAATGAGGAGAGTCATCATCATCACCATCAACAACATCATCATCCGTAGAGGTGTCTTATTTCAGCAGAAGGAATATTCCGAAACGCTTCACCTGAGCTCAGGCGCTTGTGTCGAAAGATGGATGGCTGATGGGGAGCTCTTTGCTCTTTATCCCTGTTCTTCCCAGTTAGTGTGCATGATCCGCGGAAAATTGACAACGGGTGAGTGACTGGGGTGTTTGCGAGCTTCCTGAATTGAACTAAAAATTAAGCTAGGACGAATTGTTTCCTCTGCTAGTGAGGAATGTCTTCGTGCTGTCGAAATATGTTGTGATATGGCGAAATAACATTGTCGTATGTGTATCATCACGGTGTTCATGACTGATGTACCTTGATTCGTGTGTCTCTTTCTTCTCGAGGAGGAACATGAGGGGATCCGTTTCTCAAGAAGGCACTACTGAAGAGAACGACTACTTTGTCACGTTCCCTTTGGCATGGAGGTGCAGTGACTGAGAAGAGAAATCCTTAACGTATAGAATCGACATAAGATGATGTCAAATCCACCTTAACGTTGCTTGTGAGATTTAATATCAATGCCAAGTATCGCAGAGGATGCGAATCGAAGATTTATTTTGGAATCATGTACTAATCTTGTTTCTTGTCATTTTGTCTTCCACATTTATTTTGCAGAACTCGGGATTTCAGATGGACTTTGGCGGAATTGCCTAGACTACCGTGCGTCTCCATGAGAAGGGAGTGTCTCGTCAGCAAATGCTGGTAATAGCGTTTTTCCTGATTGAAGCGGGATAGTTTCCATCGCTTCCTAGCTAGCGTGTAGAAATAGACCCTGGAGCCCTTAATCCTAGCGTTATAAGAACGGAAAGATGAATCTTGCAATGTTTTACACATGACCTAGTCTGCTTCTGGTATGCACGCGAAGCCTTGGAACAGCTCAGCGAAAGGAAGGTGCGTGTAGGATGGAGTGCGGCTGATAGCAATCATTTCCTGATCCTGCTCTGACAGTTACAAGAGAAAGGCATCGACTACCTACACATCGCATCGGCGGCATAATATGGCGTGCCTTGGTAGATATCGATATTAGCATTTTCCAATATCTTCGAGAAAGGGAACGAAGAAGCAAATCTCACACGCTATTTCTTGACTATGTATAACGTTCTAGAAAGCTGAGTACGAACAAGTTTAATACGAATTTATCATTTCAAGGTATTTGCATGGATTTGCTCGATTTTGTCTCTTTAAAGCGTTCTGTTTGAAATGCTTCTATTTTACTACAGTCTTTCCATTCGACTTCAATTCCAAATAAACACATCGTTTAGGAAATAGCATATTCATAAACATATGTTTAATGGACGCATTCCGGAATGGAAGCAGTCGCTCAACCGTACACAGGTAATGCTTGTTATGGGCCATAACAAATATTGAAATTTCACCTACTTTCATCCCAAAATGTGTCTACTCACCCCAGGGACATCCATTTGGCATACAGGGCGCTCCGTTCCGGCGAAAGCTTCATCCCGATCCCGGTCACCAGAATATCCTCGCACGTGACGGCCGATAGCGAATTGAGTGCGGCAGCAACAGTCCTGAAACGATGAAAAGAAACGAACATAGGGAAAGTTGAGATTCGATCGTAAAAGACAAGTACCACTCGAATGGAAGCAGCGTCCCACTAAAAACCCCAGCGCGGAGCACAGTCTCCTGGAGTCCAAAGATGAAGAAGAACCGCAAGACGGGGAGAGGGGTTCATAAAATTTAAAACAACATTAAACGACAGGTACAGCTCATTTAAATTTTAACACATTATCTCGATGCGGGTTCGTTCTCCATCTTGGTGTGCAGCATGTGAGGAGGGACTCTTAAGATTAACCCAAATGAGCAAATTTCATCTCTCCGGGAATGGTGTCTTTAAGTGGAATGTTCGTCTCGGAAAAACGAAGCTTAACCATGTACCAACACATGCTCACAGCTTCTTCATTCAATGAACTGAACGCCATGCCAACGCGAACGCAAACGTAATTATCATAACACCTCTTGGAACATTGTAGCAGATGGAACGAATGGACCAGGGGGTGGCATTCCATACGACAATGTGGCCAAGAGTACGATGGAAGGCATTTGCGGTGAGGTGATAGAAGATAAACTGTTAAAATATGTGATATACAGAGTTTTACTTGACAAAACTGAACGGATTAAAAAAATACAAATATTGTTCGCAAAGTTAAAGTTCGCCTAAAAGAACACAAAAATGCTGTCGACATTAAAAAATCAAACGAATCAGCTATGGTGGCAACAGGTTTCGATCACCAAATAGATTGGAAAAGCGCAAAGCTCATCAAACCCGTCTAAAAAGCCTTCATACTTGAACGCATGGGAACCATTTCACAGGCGCCGATGATGAAAGAAGATGATCCTCCTATAACATCATGCCTGTTAAACTTGACAAAGCTGAGAATTGAGTAACATCTTTTAGTTTTTGGACGTCTACGTAGCAACGTAGGTTTATTGTAATCAGTTGGACATTGTAGATGGGCAGCATAACACCCGAAACCGATCGACAGAAAGGTAATTCTTAATCTGTTTTAACGTTGTAAAACGATAAGTGTTGTGTCTTGTCTCACGTCGCGTTTTGGTTATATTCCCAAACAAACAATGTTTGTCGAAATCAATATCCTTAACTGAAGAGTTAGTTGTAGATACTTAGTACAAAAATACTTATATCAAATTATGCTACTTTTCGACACTCTTTTGAATAACCTAATGACCTACTTTTTTTTTTTTTAAGAATTTCAAAATAAAAAAATAACTCACAATCGAACAGCTTTAAAAAAGTCAGCACAAGGGATTACGTTAAAAATCTGTATATTATTCCATACCATTTTCATAACATTTATTAAGGGAGAAATCTACTTCAGCATAACCACCTATTTTCTTCATATCGATAAGAATACATCAAATATACTAATATACATTTGGTACGATACTTTAGCTCTAAAGCTTCAATACAACGTCTGTATGAACGTATGGTCTAAGTATCGACACCTCTCAGACCATTATAAAGTTAAAATGTGTACATTATAAACCAGCGCTACCCAACGTTCAGTCTGCGGGCCGGAAGTGGTCTCTGGATCTCAGCAATAATGTAACTGTAGTCCAATTTTGTTCAGCATTATGAGTTTTAGCCCAGAATAAATGAGAAATAAACAAAATACAGCTTGAAAGATGTTTATCTAACAAATATACAGTCAAAAGAAAGGTTGGGTGGACTAACGAGTTTTCCCTGAAATTTTCAAGTTACATCAGTTTTCATAAACCCTTTTGTTAAAGTAGTGCATGCTTTTCAATTGACTACATGCCCACTGAGACTATCTCAAAATTGAGTAAGATTTCACTCATTCAGGCAAAACCGGGGTAAATCAGACATTTTGGCAGAAATTGAGTAACGTAAAGCACTTCGCCGTGTAAAGCGCCTTCCTATCGGACATCCCGCGAGGACGCTCTCCGTCAATACCATGAGTCGCACAATCAATGCCGGCAAGAAATCCGTGTCGCCAAACGAACCAGCTGGATGGACTTTCTGGAAGGAAGGAATTCGTCACAGTCTTCTGCCGATTTATGGAGGCAAGTCAACGCCCTCAGTGGGAAACTGCGCATGACACCGCTCCACGTACAGATTAAAGGTGAAGCGGTTTCTGACCCAGCAATTGCAGCGGACGAACTCGGCTCGTACTTTGCCGATCTCGCAGCCATCGAGAAGTACGAAGACGAATTCAAGCGGAAAGCTAAGCCTTCGACGTCATCCATTGCAAGGTTCTGTGTTTCTTCTGACGCTGGGAACTCGGACATCAACCAGGCATTCTCCAGGCAGGAATTTCAGCATGCCCTAAGCTGCATCAACGGAAAGTCGGCGGGTCCCGACGAAATCGGGTACCCTCTACTCAAGAGGTTACCAACGCCAGGCCAGCTACGGATGCTGGAGCTTTTCAACAAGCTCTGGCTCACCAACTCGTATCCAGTGTCGTGGGAAGAGAGCTTAGTCATTCCCATCTCAAAAGCCAATGAAACAACCCTTGAAGCTAGCAAGTTCCGGCCAATAGCCTTATGGCCAAGGTCCTGGAGCGAATGGTCAACAGGAGGCTAAAGCATTTCCTTGAAGCCGAAAACCTGCTAGACCATCGACAGCATGCAACATTAGGGGAGGTTCACAAGAGTGCCAACGATAGCGGTCTCCACACCGAGATCATCTCGCTGGATATATCGAAGGCCTTCAACAGGACGTGAACGCCCCTCGTCTTAGAACAGCTTGGCAACTGGGGGCTGCGTCCACTTCATCAAACATTTCCTGACCGATCGTTCTTCCAGAGTGGCAGTTGGCAACACGAGGTTCCAGCTTTTCAGAGAAGAGACGGGCGTCCCACAAGGTTCAGTTATCGCCATTACCCTCTTCCTTGTGGCCATGAACGGAGTTTTCGGAGGACTGCCGAAAAATGTTTACATTTTCGTGTATGCTGACGATGTACTTATCGTAACTACCGGCCCAACAGCAGCACGTAACAGGATCAAGGCACAGGCAGCAGTCTCCGCTGTAGCCAGGTGGGCCAGCGCGGTAGGTTTCCAGCTTTCGGCCACCAAAAGCATCAGGTGCCACGTGTGTCCATCCCGGCACCGTGTCAGCGGGCCACCTATTAAAGTGCAAAGCCAGCCCATACCACTGAAGAAGACGGTCCGTATTCTGGCGGTACTTGTTGACCGGTCCCTCATCTTCGAGCAGCACTTTAAGGCGATCAAGAACGACTGCCGCAGTAGGATCCGCACCATTGCTCGCCCTCACCGGTCTAACAATCGCGACACTCGTTTCCGGGTTGCAATAGCCGTCATCGATAGTCGCCTACTGTACGGTCTTGAGATGACGTGCATCGCCACCGAAAAGCTCGTGCAGATACTAGCACCAACTTTCAACACCTACGTTCGGACTGTCTCCGGTCTTCTCCTGTCAACGCCCGCCGATTCCGCATGCATCGAAGCGGGTATTCCGTCCTTCGGCCATCGTATAACCGCAGCAATTGCAACGAATGCCGCTGCCTTTACCGCAATGACCTCCGGAATCCGGATCTTTCTCCTCGATGAGGGGAACAGACTCCTCCGCATGACTCCAATTCGGAGCGGGCCAAGGTCCACTGCTACGGAGAGAAAAGTTGGCGCATACCTCCACCACAAATCGAGAGTCGGATAAAGAGCAGGTTCAAGGCTGGAGATAACTCTGCAGCGCTGAAGAGAACAGTAGCCGAACTGCTAGGCTCGAACTACCCAACCCATGCCCACATATACACGGACGGATCGCTGTCCCGAGCCGGGGTCGGAATTGGAGTAGCAGGAATTTCAGTACCGATGAGTAGCAGCCTACCGCCACAATGCTCGGTTTTCCTCACCCTCGGACCGGCCCATACTGGTGCTATCGGATGTGTACAGCGTTATACAAGCCCTTACACCGGAGACCATAACTCACCCCTGGATACAGGGTATTGTTGAGGCCACACCTCCGAACACGGTGTTTTCCTGGATCCCTGGGCACTGCGGTATCCCAGGAAACAGCGAAGCCGACAGCCTGGCAAAAATAAAGCGATGGATAGTCAGCAAAATGTGGGAAGCCTGGGAAGCAGAGTGGTGCCAATCCCAATCCCTCTTCAACCGAAGAATCAAAGGAACGACGAGCAAGTGGACGGATATGTCAAAACTACGGGACCAGAAGGTGGTTACTCGTCTTAAGACAGGCCATACAAGGATCTCACATAGTTTTGGTGAGACGCAGTTCCACAGAATGTGCTACGTTTGCGGAACCACTGCATCGGTGGAACACATCCTATGACTGTGTCCGCAATACCAACAACTATGGGAGCAGTACGCACTTCCCAACAGCATTAGGGACATACTGGACGACGTACCTTCCACTTTAGCGACAGTTATTTATTTCCTCAAGGACGCTGAGCTATACAAAAACATTCTTTTGGCTTACGGTACATCTCTGCCGGACGGGGGATTACCCGGGATTACGGTGGAGCTCCGATCTCTTTCTAAACCCTACATAACTTTGATGTACCAGATTGTTTTTTGAGTACATGTGAATTGTAAGCCATCTCTGTAACAAAATTTGCAGGTGCCTCCTATTTTATAGAGATGAACTAGAAAACGGCTAAAAATCTCTCTTATAAAGTTTAAAAAAAATAACAATTAAAAAATAATATTATTTCAATAGGGGAAATGACGGCTTCGGCATGACAGACTATTTTCGGCAACCCAAATTGAAACGGTTATTTCACTGGATTTTATTAAGAAAATACTTCACTGAAGGCATTAAAACTATTCATTAGGCTTTCAACTTCAATTTGATTATATGTTTACCACTGATAAAAGCAATCTAGCAGGGTTTTCTTGAAATGAAACACACGCACTACAAAATGCTGCTGATTTCGAGTTGCCGATGAAAACACAGCTGTTTAACACGCAGCTCAAATAGAAAGGTTGCTGAATTAAAAGAGGTTGCCCACAATAGTCGCTCTTACTAGAGAAGATTGGAGCATTGTAAAAG